TTGGTACATACTCATATTTTGGAACAATCACCAAGGACGCTGACTATAAATGTATCAAGATCTGTAAATATAAAATATAAATCTTACCTGCGATTTGCCTGCCTGCGAAAAGGTTATTCCATTTGGAACGTTTTCCGTGGTTGTGGACCTACGTTCCACATCGAATGCATCCTGCCCAACATCAGCGATTGCCCAGTTTGTGAAGCAACAACGTTGGCAAATGTTGAAACTCTTGGAAGGTCTTCGAAAGACAGCAAATATGAACGCTGATTGCCCCGGTGACTTGCTTTGAAGAGGACGAAAGCGACCAAGAAAGTGAGGCAGCCGATGACGATTGACGACGAACCAGAAGACGAACAGAACGAAACCCTCGTGAACAGTTTATTAGCAAAAATATTACGCCCTTCGCGAAGGTCTGTCAGACAATCGCCATTTTGCCAACCGGATATGTACAAATGTACAGTAATGAGTCATGCGATATTGTACCTGTCAGTCGTGGATCGTTGTGACGCATTTCCGATGCGAAATGAGATCGATGAGATCAGATAGGTAATATTTAAAAACATGTCAGCTGTGGTGTGGGGAAAATAAGTTTAAACTGCCAAATCTACCAATTTTTTTATGTGTGTGTAAAGATAGTGCAAGTGAGAGTCTGCTATTTTACGCGCGTCGAAACACTGTTATTCAAACATAAATATTTCGCGTTCTAGATCGAATTTAAAAAATCCCCCCGAGGAAAGTAAAGAAGAAAGCATGCTTTATCAGAATTTGTCAGTTTTGGCGAAAAAAGTTTAATATCGAATGTCACCGAGGGCGTAGAACAAAGTGTTATTTTCTCACTCCTTTTGTTTACATGTTTCGAATTTCAGGCATTCTGATTGGTCAATAACGCAAAATGTAAACAAACGCGCTGATTGGCTAACATTATTTGCCCTTGTTGTATGAATATGTTTACGTAACTGCGTTTTAAAACTGCATTTTTACTGCATTGAGGATTCAACGACAAGAATAATGAATTTGGAGATGTACAGGGCGTATAGAAAAACGCAACCTCGGAATTTCCTAAGAAATCACTTTGCAATTCTTAAGCATAAAAGATTTTAGGCCCCAGGGAATTGAAATCGAATTGCTAATAAATCATATTACTGTTGTTGTGCATTAAATAAATGCACAAATTTTGCTTTATGCACTCGCGTTTCCAGTAATTTTGACAGTTGTGTCATTTTAAATTCCCAGACGCCTAAAATCTTTTGTCTTTAAAACAATGCCGATTTCTTGGGAAATTCCGAGGTTGCGTTTTTTTTATACACCCTGTATATTTATAATGCCAAATAAAATCCGGCTAAGCAGTCAAAATGGTATCTTATAGAAGAGATGTGCGAATCCGAATCCGATCCGATCGGATATTTATTTCGAAAAAATTCATTTCGGATTGGATCGGATTGATGAAGTTGTTTCGTAGTCGGATCGGATCGGACTTCGATATTCGAAATAAAATGAATTAATTATATATAATAATTATGATTTGGTACAATTATGATTTGATACAATATATGATTTGATACAATATAATAATTATGATTTGGTACTGACATTAATACAACATATTATAGGAATGACTATACTATTTGCCTACAAAATTGTCGTTAAAAAGTACTAAAGAGTTTTCTACAATTGACTATCAAGCAGATCATGCAATTTGAAATTGCCTTTCCTAGTGACATCTCGTATTAATAAAATTGTAGAAGTCCTAAATGTTATATTTTCAGTTATCGTGCGATTTTAAGTCCTGAGTTACTAATATCGTGGATGCAAAACAAATGAATTAATAAACAAATCAAAGAATTTTTTTGTATTAATGTCAGTAGAAACGGAAACACTTGCGAAAACGTACCGCCTGTACCAAAGAAAAGCACAGCAGTTCCAAGAAGGATTAATATGATCAACTGTTTCATTCTCAAAATAACACGAGAAGCACAGCAAACTGTCCCCTGTATCTTTCAAATACAGTTAGTTTAACTTTCAGATCAGATTTAACTTCTAACTCTTGGAACGACCGCCAAAGGGGTGTTTGTATTACGTACCGCCCGTACGAATGAAAAGTACAGCAGTTGCAAGAAGGACTGGTATTATAAATTAGCAGTGATTTTTGCTAGTCAAAATGCCTTGTGCAGTAGAGTGAAAAGACGATCAAATTTTGACTTCAAATTAGAAAAGTTTCAAGAAGATTTTAAACAAGAAAGTTTTCGAATTTGATTTGCTTTTGTTCGTAAAGCGCAGGAATTAAAAATCACCTACCTATTTCCGTTCAGTAGGTAATGAGGCAGTCAACGTATCTGTTAGTATCCGTCTGGCTGTATACATTTTTCTTCAAAATATATATTGTTTTTCGTTTTACCTCAAAACAACCACTACAGCCTGTTTCATCCGTATAGGAATCATGGCCGCATAGGAATCATGGGAATCAGGATCAGTATAGGAATCATGACCACCTGATGATTCCTATACGGATGAAACAGACTGTTGTGGTTGTTTTGAGGTAAAACGGAAAACTATATTACGCTCTATCTACATGGTATTGAGCACAGTTTGTGTTTCGTAAACCAAACACTTAGGCTATATATATATATATATATATATATATATATATATATATATATATATATATATATATATATATATATATATATATATATATATATATATATATATATATATATATATATATATATATATATATATATATATATATATATATATATACCGGGTGGCCCAAAAAAAAGTACTCCGGTTTGATTCGAAATAACTTCTAAACAAGTAAAGCTTTTAAAAGAAATAACTTGCATCAAATAGAGGAAGGACTAACTTAGATTTTGATATATTACAGTTGTATTTCACTTAAAAATTCACGGAGATATTAATGTTTAAAATCGGGAGCATATTTTGGGATGTGTCTGAAATATGCCAAAAACAGCGTGTCAAATATTAATCAAGATTTACCCGACTGAAACATGCACTATTACCTGTAAATAAATGACACTTGACAAATTGTTTATTATGAAACAAAGTATTATTATCTACAAAATACAAGCAAGATTTATTCGTCCGAAATCCGCGTGTGTTCCTAGCACGAATACGTTTCCTTATTTCATGAGACCACTGCATCGCGAAGGATCGTCATGGATCGTTCGTAGTTCTGAATTAGGGCACGCTGTCACATTGGAATTGTGAATTTTCTAACTTCACATTGAATGAATTTTCTAACTTCTGCAACGTTCTGAAATCTTGTTAAGAACACCCAAACTCTTTTGCCTTTCTTAAACTTGGCAAGTTCAGAATAAACTGAGAATGAAACACAATCAAACCATACAACTCCATAAGTAAAGACATAACAAGCATGCAACTCCCCAGAGACATCCACCACTTTTGGAACAAAGCGTAACAAAATAGTAGCTTTGATACTGTGATGTGTATTTGCAAAAAGCAATATTATTTCCTCCATTAAAGAACAATATTAATCCTGCTCTAACCGAGAAATAATCAACTTTGTTTTGAACCCATGAAAAACATAAAAAATAGGTTATTTAAGAAAAATTGAAGTGCCTGCCTTGCATGGTCTTTCAGTACCTTAAGTTTGCAAAGACCTATTAAATACTTACATAATTTCGAACGTTCATATTTCAGGAAACAATAAGTTAAGACTTACATGTAAGATGTCTAAATCTACGCCATATCCCTTACAAACCCTAACGACAATTCGCTGAAATACAATTTACCCTGATATGTCATTAAGCAAACAAACGCTGGAGTTAAAATTTGATACGCCGATTTTCGCTAATTTTAAACACATCCCAAAATATGCTCCCGATTTTGAACATTAATATCTCCGTGAATTTTTAAGTAAAATACAACTGTAATATATCAAAATCTAAGTTAGTCCTTCCTCTATTTAATGCAAGTTATTTCTGTTTGATAGCTTTACTTGTTTAGAAGTTATTATAAATCAAACCGGAGTACTTTTTTTTGGATATATATATATATATATATATATATATATATATATATATATATATATATATATATATATATATATATATATATATATATATATATATATATATATATATACATATATATATATATACATATATACATATATATATATATATACATATATACATATATACATATATATATATATATATACATATATACATATATATATATATATATACATATATACATATATACATATATAATAGATTTGAAGATTTGTAATAATAATTAATAATAATTACAATCCGGAGAACACTGTATAATTTTGTAAAAATTATAATTTTATATATATATATATATAAAATTATGTTAATTGTGTTATTGTACACTCTGTAATATTTTAAGATGAAAATGTTCTAGAGTGTGTATTATATAATTTCCATACCCAGCGCAAGCAGGGAAGGAACCCGGCCGCGACCTTCGAATTACTAGATCGACGCTCTACCAACTGAGCTATACACGGTCAGACGGATTTAAGACTGGAAATTATGAAATATATACTGAATGTCATAAACATACTCGTTTATATTAATTCAGCATCGAACAATACTAGTTCTGCAAGTGTTATGTTAATTGTACACTCTGTAATATGTTAAGATGAAAATGCTCTAGACAATGACAAGTGCCTTTTGTGTCCACTTTTCTGTATCTATGGATGTATATGAGAATTCTTCATGTGAGATCTTCACCCAGCCAAACATACTCGACCTCCACGGAGAACTGTTTAGAACTTATAGAGCTATCCAGTAGCTATAACTATCAATAGACAATTTCAGCTATCGACTAATTTTTTATCTATGGACAAGAAAGACGAAATATATCATTATAGCTCAAACGAGCATCCTATGTTGTCGAAATGTTGTAAAATACGGAAATTATAGCCCTGTGAAACTAGCAAATTTGCAGTATTTTAGTACTACGCGCTGTAAAAATAACCACTTTCGGCTCAAAAATGGTTATTTTTACCGCGCGTAATACTAAAATACTCAAAATTTGCAGTGGAATTCAGTTCTTTGTGGTGAAGATTGTGGTAGGTAATTGTATAGCAACTGTATCCAAAACACACTCGATGTGTGATCCCTTCTCGAATAACACCTATCTTTAGCCCCTCGTTAATCACTGCGCAAATCACTGCGGGAGGTGATCGTAGCCAACAGCATTTCAATCTGATTACCTAACTATCGATTTGGCCAATTATAATTACCTGTTATTAATTCGTTTTCGTTCGGACTGAAAATACAATTACATATAACTACTAGTGACGCCTATTGTCTCATGGAGTCGTCGATTATTTTTTTGGCATGAATCATTCGTCTTGACGTTTTGGCATTAGCATATATCGTTGTTACCATGATCGTGTTCACCCAGCATGAGCTCCACCTAGCTTTGAATAAAATTAATAATATGAATAAAATTTTAAACACGTCCGAATTTATTTACACAATCATTCGCGACACATGTTGAATTAACGCTAACTCTAATCGATCTAATCTAACCCACAGGTGGCTCAACTACTGTCAGTAACAAGTATAAAATAATCAATATAATAAACTTACTTTAAAATATTTGCATATATTCTTCGCAACAACGTCGAATAGAGAAAGAGCAAAAAAATGATCTATATGTAGTACCACAGAAACCTCACAGGTAAGTAATGCGGGCGCGTATAAGGTAATAGCATAATTAATATAATAGATAAATTAATAGGAAGGACTGAAACACCGGTCACGTGATCGTTCGATGTTTATTGTTTGCCTTCAAGCTGCTCCATTTACTATTCAAACTGGCAAAATGTTCCACGGGAACTGATTAAGTGTTAAAATATGCATAAGGGCTAGGATTTTCCGTAATACAGCTTGTTTTGTGCTGATCGCCACGGGGAAGAAGTGTTCGAGTAAAGAGACTAGATCGTTAGCCATGGTGGGATGGAGTGGTGAGGATGGGAATATCCTTTTTGTGACGCGTGGTTTAAGGCGCCCACCCTCCCACCCCATTTTTCAGCTATCCTTGCTGGTCTTCCGCTGCGGATCGTACCTCCATGTTTCGAATGAAACAATGGATCTTCCTTTTCCCCAATACTTAATCAGTGATCCGTGGAAGAATGGCCAGTTTGGAAATTTTACTGTTCGGAGTACTCCGGATTTTTGGAACACTAATGGAATGGAACAGAAGGCAGTCACATGACTGTTCTGAACTGTTCTGACTACCCCGATTTTCGAGTACACACGCAAAAATCTCACATCTTGTAACACGTTTGTCAACAAGCCGTCAACAAGTTGTCTTCGCACTGCTTGTCACAAGTTGTCGACAAGTTTGGAACAAGCTGTTAACAATTTGTAACAACCTTGTTGATGTTATCAGGCTTGTTCCAAGGTTGTTCCAACAAGTCCCAATACAGTCATGATATAGCAGTATTGTTACAACCTTGTGTCGTCAACCTTGTAACATTCTTGTTTATCATGACTGTATCATGCAGGCTTGTTAGAACAACCTTGTAACAAGTGTGATAATGACATCACGCTTGTTACAAGTTGTTAACAGCTTCTTCCAAACTTGTTACAACAACTGGGAACAAACAGTGCGAAGATAACTTGCATATTTGTAACAACTTGTTTGCAGACTTGTAACAACTTGTGCGTTTTTATGTGTGTAGGGGCAGCCACAACAGACACGTGACACTGCCCATTTTCACGTGGTTGGAAATGGAGGCGACATATTTTGTGTTTCCAATGCACACTGCATAGAGTGTTAGTTTGAAGGGTTAACCGCTATATATTTCGACATACACTTATTATATGGTATTTCGACGCCCGAGTTGGGCAATTCAACGAGTGCAAACGTTGCAAAAGCATACTTAGATATACAAATAAGATATACAAATAAATAACAGCAAATCATTATACGCTTCATTATGCGAATAACTGATAAGTATAGTAATGCGTGGTTGCAGGGAAATTAACCTGAAGTTCAGGCCCTAATTTGAAATAGGGCCTGACACAAAACCTGTCTAGACCGTGGGACGCCCACATGTTATTTTTAGACACAGCATGCAATATGATTGACAAGTGTTGTAGATTTCGTCACAAAAAAATTATATTCTGATGAACATATCCGCAGAGTGTGCATTTTGCTTTTTAATTAAACTTAAAAATTCAAGGTACTTTTATATAATTAAGAGTCAGTTTCTCTATTTAACCAAACAGCAAACAAAGATTTAATTAGTCAGTTCTGTGCACGGCTTGACTGCCAAGCTTTCTCAAGGTCTCAACTTGCTGGACGCGGATATACTCTATAAACGACTAACGGGCTAACAACAGCAACAATGAAATTCTCAATCGTACCACGAAGAAGGCGATGTAGCTCAGAGAACAACGCCGGTAGGACCTGATATTAAAAATAAGACTTTTGCCGGCGAAGCCAGTTGGCAGAACATCTTGGCTGTCAACAACAAGCTTTCGAATACATGACTAGTTTGGCTGTTCTTTAAGCGTCGTGTGTCCAAAAATTCGTCAACGATTTTGATGAAGCCCTTTCAAAATACTGTTTGTTTGATTTATTTTCTGCCATAAAGCATGAAAGAAAAGAAATTCGAAGAAATCGATAGTGGAATTTGTTACGTGCGTTTGACCTTTATATTAATTATCGCCCTTGAATCACAGAATAAAGATCAGTACCAGAAGGGCCACTCAGCGGTGCAACGTGTCGCCATTTTTCTATGCAAAAGCATGCAGTTGACTGGCCAGAAGGCGGGGCCTTTAGCCAATACAGCGCGTTTATTGGCCAGAAAATGTAATCGACTGGCTAGGAAGATTGGGGCCAGGATGACAGAAACTTCAAAGCTTCCGACGTAAGTGGCCCTTCTGTGTGCCTTATTCTGTGCTTGAGTCCTTGACCGAGCTATTTTTAAAACTGTTGTTTATGTGAACTTGCAACCAATCAAAATCCTTCATGATGCTGATCAACCAATCAGATTTCCCGTCCACCAAATGGACGGGAATCCCACAGTTTAGATAGGTTTTGTGTCAGGCCCTATTCTGTGATTAGGGCCTGAACTTCAGGTTACAGGCAAATTCGCAAATATAATAAACTAAACACTGTTCCAGAACACCGTGTGCACTCCATTTCATATCGTTCTAGAACCGTGTTTCAAATGTTGTAGAACAGTAAACGGAGCAGACTGCAAGTATATGCAAATCTGTTAAGTAAGTTTATTATATCGATTATTTTATACATGTTACTGAAAGTAGTTGAGCGCCCTGTGTCTAACCTCGTCTCGCACCCTAATCTTAACCTTTTATTTTTTAATCTACGTTTCCTCGCGCCGTACATGTTTAAAATTCATTAAAAAACTCATTAATAATTCACGAGGAAAATACAAAACAAATGAATGTTTAATCAATGTTTGTAAGATCGGATAAAGATTTGTCCTGATTTACATAAAGTTCAGCTTTGATTAATAATATGTGACGTTTTGCTGACAGGAAGGTCAAAAATTTATTTATTAATTAAAAGAACATACAAATGACGATGTGTAAAACAAAATTCCAGCGAAATTGCGTCGGCTGTTGGGCGAACAACAAATAACTTATAATGCTATAACCCCTGCCGCTAGAAAGTAAAATCCCCCCCCCCCCAAGTGGCAGCAAGAAAAAATTTGCCTAACGTACGAAAATGTCTAGACCGGCCCCTGTAATTAACTATCGTCTTTCTTCACAACCAGTTAGAAATTTGTTATCAGTCACTTTGAGTTACTCTCTCTTTGTTTCGTGTTTTGATGGAAGAGAGTTTTTGATTTAAATCTCTCGTGTTAGTTGATTTCAAGGAAATATCGGGGGAGTTATGAAATTGGGTGCGGTCGCTGGAAAACGTTGGCATGGCCAGGGCCGCCGAAATCCTTCTCGATATTCTCGCACTAAATGAGACAAGATTAGATAATAATATTACCAATTAGGATATGTTTATTCACAATTATGATTTAATTAGGGCCGATCGCTCTAGAACAGGGGGAGGCGTCTGTTTATATATAAGAAATTCCATTAATTATTTCGAACGAAAAGATCTGACTAGAGATAATCTTGAAGCAGTTTGTATTGAGGTTAACAAACCCTCTTCTGCATCGTTTATTGTTGGTACCATTTATAGACCTCCAGGTGCTTCTGTCGACTCTTTTGCCAATATTGAGCAACTAATTAAACTTATAGATGATGAGAATAAGGAATTTTACATGCTTGGTGATTTAAATGCCAATATGCTTGACGTTTCAAATAATGCTACAAAAAACTTAAATTCAATCATTGAACTATATCAGTTAACACAAACAATAAGCTCACCCACTCGCGTGACAATGACTTCATCTACCCTGTTGGATGTTTGTCTCACCCCAACTCCAGATAAGTTAGTCTTATCTAAAGTGGTGCAGATTGCTATCAGCGATCACTATATGATTTTAGTTGTTCGTAAAAT